TTCTGGATCCTGAGGAGGCTGGGCTGCTTGGCTGTTCTGGCCACTAGCCTTGTGCTTACGATAAAATTTTAGCAAAGCGATAGCCACGCGGTAGAGTACTTTGTACCCCTCCACAAGGTAAACATCCAGCACTCGGACAGCATGGTTAAAAGGGAGGTCACCCAGGATCCAGCGTTGCCAGTCGCAGTACACCTCCTGCACATCCTGAGCAGCTGCCAGAATCAGCTTGTGTGCCGGTGCACAGTACTTATTGGCCAGGTCACCAAAAGTCATGCAGCTGGATTCATATGCAAGAAACGTTTGGTCCATCAGTCTTTTCCCAGGCTCATTACAGGCAAGTATACGACTGACATGCTCAAAACACTGAGCCTCGTCTTTACTGAAGTGGAGGAGTAATGCAGTAACTGCTGGAAGAGAAGGGCAGTGAGAGATGTCTGGAAACTGTCCTGCCACACAGTTCATAATCTGATGGGCTGAAGCTACAGCCTCTGCTTTGAGGCAGTACTTGGGCACTGGGTTTCCGTCCACAAACTCCGGCAGAGGGATGTGGGACGAGGGTTTCTTAGAGCCTGCATTTTTCATAATGTCCTTGTACACCTCTGCATCTGGAGTGACAGTGCGACAGGGGATGGCTTTGATGAGCTGTTGGTAGACCTGTGCTCGAAGTTTATGATTTTTAGCCCAGTATCCTTGCCGGGCCATCTGCTTAAACTCCTTTAGGTCTTTGCAGTCCACGTTAGTAGGACCACTGCTCTTGGCCAGGTCCCCCATTTGGGCCCAATCCACAAAGCTGCCATACTCCTCTTCAGCCATGATGTACACAAGATTGATTAGAGATGTACTGCCTTATTTCAGTCTTCTACACAAAAGATCTGTTATGACATTTTAACTCCCCATTGTGATTCCTGAAACACAGAAAAAACCCACAGGCGTTTCAAACGTATTAAACAGAACAGTCACAGGAAAGAACACTTGATTAAAGATAGTCACACTAAACAAGCATGCATCTGGTGTGTGAATTATCTAAAGGGAGTTTTAATCCAATTACTTTAAGACATGAATAGAACACAGAGACAAGGCATCTGAGTAAATGCCTTATGACCAATATAAAAACAACTTCATAAACCCATTCATGAACACAAATTATGGGAAGATGTAATTGACCGGGCACTGGTCTGTATTAAACACTGTGATAAACAAGTCTGAAAAAGTTTCAGTTGCAATGGGCTGTTTACATCAATTTGTGCTGCACAGTCACATGAGAAGCAGTGTCCAAGATTATACAACATGTAATTTTGAAGCAAAGGCAACCATAAAAATCATGTTGCAATATCTTTAACAGGTCACATGTCAGCATATTAAAGTCAGGGCAAAGATATCTCCAATAATAACACTGAACGAAAGACACAACACAAAGCAGAAGTATGTCTTTGAAAGCATGGACGTGTCCAAGATCCTTTTTCTGTAGTGAAAAGAATCCATCGTACAGTGCAAAGGTGTACACTGCGTCGGGTGGTTTATGTTCATAGCCTCCATGTTCCCCCTGATGTCCACTTAAAATAAACATAGATAAAATGGCATCAAAGATTTCCATTAGGTTAAATGATATCCTATTATCAGCACTCGGAAAATAATTCGTAAAAATGCAGACTCTAAATTGCAAATAAGCTATGTTCATACTTAGACATATGCATGTAATACGGGTTCAGCCAGGAGAGATGAATCACTCATTCGTGTCATTTGTTAGCTAAGGCTTATCTTCAAATGAACAAGAAATCGTGACATGTTCTTTTAGAATCTATGATTACACGGACCCACTCAATCTTAAAAGGCTAATGTTAGCTAGCTACAAGCAGCTCCTGTCAGCTCCTGTCAGTGAGCAGAGAAAGTGAAATCCTGCAGAACGTGGATCCGCCTATGGACCAGGTACGACAGAAAACATCAAATAACATGTATTTAACGAGCAGCCTATGCAGGCGCATGTTGGTAGCAGGAATTATTCCAATATCAATGCATAGCTACGCTGTCTTGCAGATAGGCGGATGAGGTGGATCTGATGATATTTCTGCGCTACTGTATGGGAAAACAAGTGTGTGACACAGAAAGCCCATATCACAGAGAACACTGGCTAAAAATATAATCAATGAGTACACTGTTGCCATAAAAACAATGATTTTACAGTATTCTTACCTGACAGGCAAGGGATCTTAAGACGTGCCGAAGGATTCGTATGAAGTTGTCTGGCGCATGCGCAGTGCTTTCTGCCGGGGCTTGAGTTGCTCTGCCCACGTGCTGCTGCGCGTCCTGTGCGTAGTGTCCAGGGGGCTCAGGTGGGCTCAGCCTCAGCTGATCAGGTAAATATAGATGTGTGCTCATGGCCGACGTACGACTCATGGTCTACTCAGATTTACTGCATTCCCTCGTAAGAATCATGTTTATTAGGCTATGTCTGTCGGTTCACAGCATTTGTATCATTTGTCATGTGTGTTTTAAAAATATG